AAATTAAAACCAACCGTTGAAAATAGCCACAAGGGTCTGTCCTGTTCATTAAATCCAACATGCATGTACCTTTCCAGGATCAACAAGCGTTTGTTGTCATTAGCAAATTGAAAGATGATGCATTGATCAGAAGCATCAAGTCATAAGACGTAAAGTAATGAATTAATTTGTTACCCAATTGCAGGTGTTTACGCAACTGAATTCCTCAGCGATCATTCGTCTTGACCTGCTGGGAGTGGCTGTCACCGCTATGTCCAACGTCACAAACGGAACGTCGGTGACCTTCGGTGTTGATCTCCTCTCGTCAACTGTTCTGACGGAGGCCCAAGTGTCGCAAGCGTTTGTAGATGGGCTGACAGGTGCCGAGAATAACACCGTTGCCCCGAACAGCTTGATCAAGACTGGATCCACGCCCTCGGTAACCGTGCCAGGTAATGTTTCAAAGGAAATGTACAATGGCTAGACAAAAACCAGAGCCTCATTTTGCAGCTGGTTAGGAGAACTCTTGACTTGGATGTAGCATTCCTAAAGTGTCTGTCTACATTTCACAATGATCTGAATCATTACATGCCTTATCTCCCACAATCCTCTTTGCTGTACTCCATGATGTTGGACCGTGTCCAAAGAGACATTTATGGCTACGGCTTAAGTATTTGTCACTGATGCTTCTAAATGAACAGCAATAGCTGCAGGCAACAATACTCGCATTGAACGCTGCGCAGCTTAGCGCCTCAAAGATGACCGATCGACATTGACGGAAAACGTTGCTTTTTACAATGAATTCTCATTATGCTCGACGACTAAAAAGTCGCAGACGGCGGGAGAGTTCTAATCTGTGGGTTTGTAAGCCATTCTCCGCATTGATTTTTCTCCAGATATAAACCCATGTGAGGAAGGTACCGATAACTGCTATGCTCTGAACTACGACCAGTGCGTCTTCGATGGTAACAACGCCTTCAGTTGCATGACATGTCTGACGGGTTATGCGACGCCCTCTGTTGCTGGCGAGGCTTGCACAGGTATGATAAATACTGCCCTTCACCCTTTAGTTATTCTGCAGCACACAAGGTGCTGAAAACAAAACCGACCGTCGCATTGACATTTTGGCATATGGCACATGTTTTCAGAACGTGGTGGACTTGTTTTTACAAGAAGTGTTTGACTCTAAGGAAATTCGGAAGGAATTTTTTTAAGTTGGGTACACGTGCGTGATTACCACATTTCTCAGCAAACTGAGGCTACAACTTGGGAGCACTTCGTATTGTATAATGCCGTTCTTTTCCAAACCTCCAGCGCTCAATGTATTGCAAAATTCGCTTTAAATACTTTTAAATTTTTAAATGAGGATACTTTCGTCCAGTCAAACAGTAACCTTAATCACTTAAATGATCAGTTTTTAACGTATGCCTGTCTATATATGCTTCCATTTGTTAGAGATCTTCCCTTGTCAGAACAGCAGCGTGGTTCAAGCCTGTAACGACTTAGGCTTTGTAGATTGTGTGCACGACGGACCAGGTCAGTCGCATTGTGAGAACTGCTTAGGAGGATGGACTATGGTGGGAGACCAGTGCGAGCGTAAGACATTTTCAAGATTTTTCTACCTATTTAAAAAGTATTTAACGGCTTATTTCCCATTTTATGCTCATCTGCAGACTTCCATTTTATTTCTAATTCCAAACCCTTCTTCAAGACAGAAAAACTGCTTTGGTCCTCCAAATGAATATTGGGGGAAAAGAGCCATCTTTTAAACGGATTTTGACCAACGGTTTCGTGTTTGTTTTTGTAGGACTGAAGAAGTTCGAAGGAACTGCCAAACTTGAGGAGTTCGGCGGTTCGGTTGCGGAGTACACGGAAGACCTCTCAAATAGCTCATCACCAGCCTTCATAGCCTTGGCGAATGACATGTGCACTGTAAGTTTTTCGACAACGCGAAACAAACTGTTTTCTTGATGTGTTTTTAATTGGGTGTGGCTTTTTGCATCTACACAGCCCAGTAATTCACTTGTGCGTCGTAGAAGGTGTTCGTACTGTTAACCAACACTGCCCGATATTTTTAGGATAAGGCAAAACTTGCGTTCTCCCTGAAAAATACTTCGTCGCAAAAGCTTTCTGAATTTTCCTCCATCGTTAAGTTTTGTTTTTTAATAAAAAAGGATGAAGTTCCAATGAAATATATACATGTAATGCTTTGCACATTTTGTATGATCGTGCATTCTACCGTCAACCGGCGCAGACATCAACAAAACCGATTTAAATATTCCAAACTCTAATATTCTCCCAAGGGATCGAGGCACTGAAATTCCGAATTCCCCTTTTTTTTCCACCAACACCAAAGTGATTCTTCCTTCCTTTGTATTTTTTTTCAGTTTTTGACGGCAGCAACCAGCTCCACCAACTGCCAGATCCTGGGGTTCAGCAACGGTAGCATCATCGTCGAATACATCTTGCAGTTCCCCGAGGTCCAGAACACGAACAGCACTGACTTGTCCAGCGCCATCGTCTCTGCCGCCAGTTTCACGGTTTCTCTTTCTTTTGATGCACAATCGGTTTCTTTAGTCGGTGAGTTCCGAATTTATTGCTCACCTGGTGCTGTGTCCCCAGAGTGCCGTGGGCCAGCACGGCAAAATGGGATTTGAAATTAGTTAATTTTGCACCCGGAATGTAGGGACTTTTGCGTGTCCGCATGTCAACAGATTTCGTCGCCATAGCTATAAGGTGCGCAGTCCCCACAACTGATGTAGATTATGGTTGTTTTGAGTGTTGTTTAATACAAGTAGTAGACAGCAGCTCTGATGTATGAGATGAAAACGCAACACAATCGTTTCCCACATTTTTATTGCTGTTTGGGGTGCCTCTTTGTTGGAGAAGCACTTGGAACGGGGTTTTTGGCTACAGAAAAAATAGCTGCATGTGTTTGTGTGAAGGTGTAATGTTGAACATTTCTCTTTTACACATGTACGTATATATTTCGATGCAGTAGCATAAATACGATTGTACACACGCACTCGGTCAATGTCAGTCTCATTAGTAGACTTATGTACATGTACTTACATACTTAAAATCTCTGATCCCACAAGAATAATATTTTGCTATTTTTGAACGGCAAATGTAGAAAATTTGGTGTAGCTACGCATTCAGTAATCTCGCAAAGTTTAAAGTTAAGCAGGAATTGTAATAGCTGATCATTGTCTTTCAATTTCAGACGTCTCCGCTTTCTGCGAATTGAGTTCCTGCTTAAATGGCGCCACCTGTGCTGTCAACGCAATGAACCTGATCGAATGCACGTAAGTCACAATGAGTTCTTGTCACTTATGGTTTACTTCATAGATTACTGTAGACGTCGTGGCTTGACTGAATTCAATTTTCATTTTCATACTCTATAAATTAACAATAGCCGAAACGTGTGTAGAATCGCCTAGTGCAACCGGCTGGGAATTCGAAATCGGAATGCAATAAAAGATTATTGGGGCTATATTTTCCAGTGTCTCCAACCAAATTTAAAACTCGTATACTAGAGTTCAGTTTGTTTCGGGCAAACAAACAATATGACTACACGTCTGGCTGCCATTGGGCACATTACGATTTTCACACAAATCGCTTATAAGGTCATCAGTCTGACAGGAGTCAAAGCCTTGGCTGTAATGATATTTTTTGGGGGGGGGTTTCACAGCTTACTTTTAAGTCTTGAAAAAAGCTTGAAAATCCCAGCCAAGTGACAATAATTGAGTCCAATGTACGCAGCGTAACTACAGCCTATAGGACTGTCAGAATTGGTATGTTTTGTTGATTACAGGGACAGTAATTTGTTGAGTGCTGTTTCTTAAAAATTCCTGACTTTTTTGCATTAATAGGTGTGCAACAGGCTACTCAGGAAGTGACTGCGGCACAGGTAAGAGAAGTTATAATCGTCACTTTTACAAATACATGTACTACATGCCTTCACCAAAAACTGCCTCTTGTGCATTATATTACTCCTGAGGAGCATTATATGTTTCAAGTCATCCCCTTACAATTCATGAGTTTTTGCACAAAAAAAAACTGCACAAAAGGGAGTCTGACTCTGTTTTTTTTTGTACTGGGTAACAGTTATCACAACTCCAGAAGTTGGTGTAAGCTTAGTCACTGAATCTGCCGTCACGCCGACAGCCGTGGCAAGCACGGGCCTGAGCACCGGAGCGATAGTCGGCATCGCGGTGGGCGCGGTAGTCGCCGCCGTCATCGTCGTAGTCGTCATTGCGCTGGTGGTGGTAAAATGCAGCGGGAAGAGCAAGGTCGGCGCTCGTCAGGACCCGGATGAAATCCCACTGAGAGAAAACTAAAGGGAGGTTCCAGAGATTTCCTAGTAAAAACGCAGTTTCGTACAACCCACCTCCCCCAACGAGTCCAAAATGTGAGGGGCGCCAGTGAGGTACAGTTGCGCTCCCTTGTGCTATTCTGTACGTGGTTGTAGGTCGTTTCTTTGAGTGTTATTTTGGAAAGAGCGCATGACAAGATACAATTTCGAAGTAACGACTGCGGCTGATTGCACTGTCCTTGTACATACAAGTTTTATCTCAATGACATTGTAATATAAACGGTTAACATGAATTTCTACGATTTCCACTCGTGAGTCCCATTGTATTTGATCACTTTAATAAACCTTTTTTATTTTTCCGCCTACTTGGAAATATTTACACTGCGCTAAGCATTGTCTGTTACAAATTTGAAATCGTAGTCAACGTCAGTATCGGTGAATTAAGCTGTTTCGGGGTCGGATGGGTGGATAAAGTTGCCAATAATTTATCTCCATTTTTTTAAAAATAAATCATTATGTACATGATGTTCGTTCTTGTATTCATTCACCGGGAAGCTTCTGTAAATTGTTTTTAAAAAGTGCATGCTGTTTTTCAGTCGTTGTATATATTATTTTTAAAATGTGTGCGTTCAACACCTTGTCATTTAAACTGCGAAATCTTGCAGTAGCGAGTTTCTTGGTTTGTCGTTTAACAAAGTTTAAATTATTGAAGTGTCTTCAAAACAATGTCATTGGCAGAAAACCAGTTGGTAGGTTTTGCTTATGCGAGTTTGTTAAAGCGTGAGATGAATTAATAATAAAATGTGACGCTGGCTGGTTGGGATAAAGGCCTTGCCTGTTTTTAAGTTTGTGAATAAAGCCAATAAAAAGAGTCTTAACACTGAAGAGAAACAAGAGTTCCAATGAATATTCGTTTTTTCTTCGTTTATTGATTTCGCAGTAAATATTAATGCTATTGAAGCAAGGCACATGGTATCCTTCTGTTCAAGTCGTGTACAAGTCAATTAGTCATTCAGGGGCTGAAAACCTTAGCCACCCACCGACCTAGATGAAATTCGAACCCGGGTCACAAAGTTGAAGGGGAAGAACACTGCTTCAGGGTCCAGTCCACTAATTCAAGCCCCATTGAAAACAGTGTAAAATCAGCAATAGCATGCAGGGCCCAATAGC